GTGCATCGGGCCAACTTTGCTCGATGTTTGTTCTACCATGCTGCAGAGGCTGAGGTCAGCGGTGAAGTCTGGGAGTCTGCTGACCACATCCAAAGAAGACCTCACACCATCCCCAGATAGTAAATTGTCCATAATCATTATCAACTCTGTGGTGATTGGCTCCCACTCTGTTCAGGCGGCACCATGTCTAACCTGTCAGTGGTGTGACAAGGTCCTCCCCAGAGCGAGAGCTGAACGGTGTCTGCCTCTCCTGAGTATCCTCATGTCATTAACAGCAATAGCTTTGATGAAATGTTCTTCCTGATCTGGCCTTGTATGAGCTTCTTTGGTTCAGCTGGAGGTGCCCGTGGCCCCTGGTCTTCAGGCACTTGTCTATTTTGGGAGGTCATTTGGAGCCGGACACTCTGTCTCCCCCAACGCAGCCTGTCTCCTGATACTGCTATCAACTGCCGGCTTTTAACAGGGAGTCATGGCAATTTACTAGAGTGACGCCAAGCAAGGCGGTTATCAGGACCCCAACGCTAGATTAGCTGGTTGGTCTTCTAATGAGCATCCTTGAACAGGGAAATGGAGGGGGACTCACACAGCACTATAATAACACTATTATCCAGGGTCCTGACAGAGCAGGAAATACAAAATGTGTCATGTCAGAAAAATTGCACAAAAAAAAAAAAAAAAAAAAAATCCAAGTTCAGAGATAAGCCCAAGGATCTTCCAAATCCAAAGATTTGGTTTTATTCCCATAACTGTCTGTGCAAAGGAAGTGATACATCATGAAAAAATGAATATTTAAGTAATCGGGATAAAAAGTAGGCACATGGATTTAAATGATTTTGAAATGCTCACTAGAGTTACAGAAGCTATTAAAAATGACCAGATGCTTAACTAGTTATTGATGGTTATTGATTTATTTGATTATGTGCATTTAACCCCAGTATTCACAGAATAACCTCATAACTGAAGGTAAAACAGATAAAAAAAACTCTAGTGAGAAAACAGCAACTAATTCTGCCTCCTCTTCTGTTTGACTGTTAGTGACTCCAGTCTCTACTTCTAAATGCGGCCTCTTAACTGGACTCTGTGGTCTAACCAACCCTGGTCTGTCAAATTGGAGTCAGAGATCATTAAAGTGGTCTTTGCAGAGGTGATGTCATACTTGGAACTGCGTTTCACTGTGGATTTTAGGAGGGTTTGGATTTACTAGCATTCGGGAAACATTAATACGTATATAAGATCACAGTGCCTGTGCTCTCTGTTGTATGTCTAGAGCACAGTCCTGATACTGTGTAAGGTACTGCATCATTTGCATTGCTAAGTCTCAGAATTTGACTTTGTTTTCTTCCAATTTTCTTAACTAAACAGTTGCTGTTTATCTCACCTAATAATGACAGAATAGTTAGTAACCAAATAACCTGCTCCTTTGTGAGAAGGAACACAGGCTTGTCAAAAGATGGATTTGCTTAAGGGCTTTAATCATTTAGGCCGTGCCAATGCAAATATGCTGCCATGATTCCGTAATAGTCGTAATTTGGTAATTAACATCAGGTAATTACTGTCGGCAAATACAGAATAGCCATGCTGTTTAGATTGGGTTTAATAGAAATAGATTGCAAAGGAAAGTCCCTTATGTAATTTAGCCCCTTAAGGCAAAATGGCGCCCATACAAGGATGTGAGTCTGTGTGAGAGCAGGATGTTGAGTGGCTCCCACTACAGGGCATGTAAGGGCCTGAGAACTGACTGGGACAGTTAGTCTTTTGTTTGATGATGAGGAGGATGGTTGTTGTTATTGTTGCCCTAGACAATAATTAGTAATTATATTATAAATATGGTATAATTGGCGAAATTCCTAAAATGTAAGAAAAACAAAACTTTGTTCGATTTATCGTTTTACTGTTTTTTTTCTCTTGAGTGATCTTTAATGAAAAATGTAAAAATACCTGCAACACAATCCATCAAACAGTCACACAGCCTGGAAGAGTCATCGACACTTGACTTAGTTTGGAGGTTGTTTGGATAATATGCCAGTTGTCTTCAACAATATTAATCAGTCCATAGTATATGGTATATTTTAGAATTGTTTTATTTTATCCCCTCGCAGTATATTTTAGAATTGTTTTATTTTATCTCCATATTTAATTATGTCAGTTGCCAGAAGGTTTTTTTTGTACTTTTCCTAATAAAAATAATAAAATGAAGCCATACATTGAATCCACACTGAATCATTAAATTTGATGGCAGGTTTAAATCTGCCTTTCTGGGCATCGGCAGCTGATTCATCGCATACTGTACACCAAAATGCATACTTACTTTAAAATTAAAATGACTTAAAGTAGACTTGGATCAAATGAACAGAGTGAACATGTGTATGACCTTTGTGCCATTGTAATTGTTGTACTTCTGTTTGTGGTTCTCCTGTTTCATTTAAACGTAGTTGAGAGCTGCACCTATAATTTGCTTGTAGGAAGGAACAATTTAAATATATATATATATATACAAAACCCTTATCCTATTTGTAAGATATTTTACCCTGCCTTAGTGAAAATAACTTCATTTAACAGCTGTGGCATTTTTTAAATTTCTCGCGTGTGAGTCTCTTTGTGTTTGGGTGTTGACCAAGTTATGCACATGTAAGTGTTTGTGACTTCATCCCCAGACTTTAATCTAAGTTTGTGTGCACAGTCTCTAAGGTGTGGATTAGTGGGAGTGTTGAGTCAGGCCCAGGCGAGGGCCTAGGAGGTCAGCCCAGTAAGAGGCCCATGTAAGCAGGCTCCAGTGCTGCTGAATGGGCCGATAATGGGCCGGATCAGAAGGAATGTGTTCATGGAGCCTTGCTACTGACAGCCAGCCCCTGGGGACATGAATTACTTTGACTAATACAGAAAAGAAGATGACAAAAACATTGCCTCGGGCGCTGTCTACTCGGACTCCTTGTCTCCAACATGGCTAAATTAATCAAATTGCCTCCAATTAAATATTTAACTATGCTTCTTTTCCCCCCACGGCTGTTTCATCTTTTCTCCTAGGAGTTTTGTGATACAAAATACTGCACTTGTTGCATTGTGCACAAAATAGCACAGTATTCTTGGTTTGCTGTATCATCGCACATTTTAACTATGCACAATGAGTGTTTCAGAGGTCGGTTTGTGTCGTTGGGTATCGCTTTAATAAATAGCTGTTCAGGTGACCTGAATGTGGGCTCATTGCCTTTGGCTTTTGTCCTTCAGTTGTTCTGTTTCTACACGCATAATGTATCTATGAAGCTAATTTCCCTCGCACCACACCTCTCATAAATGCTGTCAACTCCTGAAACTGCCACTCATTCAGTTTGAGCACTTTGGAAATTTCAACCACATAAGAATCCTTTGCAATGCCTATATCCTCCACAGCCATGTCAGACCAGGTTCATTCGTATCATTCATTCTTGATTTTCCTTGGTTAGTATAAAAATGTGACAGCTAATAATGCATATTTGTAGGATCCAGAGTATATTTCAGCCCCAGGGTATTTTTTTTTTTTTTTTTAGATTATTTTCACATTCAAATAACATATTTGCATGTCCTCTCTCCAGATGGTTTTGTTTGCTTCATTAACTAATTAGCACCCAGGGGTGTGTTGTAATTTCACCTCTGCACTCAACAGCCCATTGTGTCAGTCAGATGCAATGCTATATTACCATTGTGGGATTTACATGGGGCATCCAAAACAAATGTGTTATCTCCGAGCCATGATTCATTTGAGTTCTTCAACCACTTTGTCTGAAGTGTCAGGAGCTGAGCTGGCGTGACCACTGCATTATTACCCAGGGGTCCACACGGGTTCATGGTCCTGGACCTTCACTGTGAGAGGATCAGACAAGGGGACAGGCCTGTGTGAACAGCTGTGCCCTGTTTTAGATCCTCATATTCAGTTGCATCTTACTCTTTGAAGAAGTCTTTCCTTACACGTTTTACCACATGCAGCACACATTAGTAGAGTATGGCTCAGAAATGACTGTAAGACCAAAAGTTCAAACGCCTAAACTTTTATTTCTCTATTTTTAAAAAGAGCCAGATGGTTTTACTGGCTTTTAAATGCTTCTGTTAAACATGGGTCTAGTGAGTCTGAATTTTAATTTGCCTTTTTTCTGTCACGGAAAGCAATTATGAATCCATTCAGCTAGTTTTTGTACGATCTGAACCATAATTCTTGGTAGAACCGCAAATTGCTCTATGTTTGAACTACGGTGGTTTTCATTACACTGTAACACTGGAACACATGGCCATCATGTGGTACAAAAGACTGTACATTCATACGGAGCTGCCACAGCAATGTTTCTGGGATGTGGCCTGCGTCCTATTTTAGGCAATGGTTACTTTTACATTTCTGTGTTAACTCGACAGACAGAAAAATACAAGTTAAACAAAATCATTCGTGGAACAATGAGCTCTCTGGAACAAAGAATAAAAACCTCCAATAACATGTTCGTTTTCAAAAAACTACAAACTCATTCATCGAGGTCCGTGTCACGGGCACAGCATCTCACAGCGGGGACACTGAGACACTCCTGTCCTTAGCCAGTTCCACCAGCTCCTCCAGATTCCGAGACATTCCGAGGTCAGCAGAGAAATCTCATCTGTCCTACGTGTCCTGTGCCTACCCTGGTGTCTCCCTCCAGGTGGGCATGCCCCAAACACCACTGCAGACAGGGATCTGGGAGGTATCTTTACCAGATGCCCACTCCACCTCAGCTGCCTCCTCTTGATAAAAGAAGTCCTCTGTAAAACCTACTCAGATGTCTGAGATCCTCGCACTATTTCGGCGGTCAGGCCCAGCCAAGTGGTTAGGAAAACATTTTTGGCGCTTGGTTTTGGTATCTCTTCCATTTGGTCATTTCTCACGGCTCGTGACCTGATCGACGTTAGCATCAGATGATACGTTTCATCTCTTTCTTTTACGCATGCAGTGGTAAATTGCAAAAATTACCTCAGTCATTTAACATCTACTGTTTAATCCTTTTCAGGGTCAAGGGGGCGCCGTAGCCAATCCCAGGAATCATCGTGAGGGGGCGAGTACACCCTGGACAGTTCACTTGTCTATCACAGGGCGACATAAAGAGACAATATTCAGAATGAGGAAGAAGCAAGGTCTTAAAGCATTCTATGTGAGAACTTTAAACTAGGAAATACCCAAACACAACAGCCAAGGAATATTTCACCTCTCCATGCTTCACCTGTGGGAAACTTAGACTTCACCAGACTGAAAGGGTCCAATGATGTATGTGGCATACCCCTGATGTCTGTGGAGAATCAGAGAATCCAACAGCAGGGACAGTAACACAGCCAGCCCGGGTGAATTATGAGCCTGCTGGAATTTTCTTTTGCCTTAATTGAAAATTGCATGACATTGATATAAATGAAGCAGAACTCTCTAATAACAGTTTTCTTTTCCTTGTCTGACATGTGATTGAGTTACAAAGGGGAATGCTTTTGCAACAGGTGCCTCTAACACAGTACAGGCGCAGGGGCTTCCATGGACCCTCAGTAACCTCCCTCTGCCCCAGAGCCTTAAGCCTGCCAGGGAAATCTGATTCCAGTTCAGACACCGGCAAACTGTGCTGCTGCCTTTCAGTCAACCACTATGTTTGTATGATATGTTTGTATTTGTGTGTTAGACTGTTGGAAGTCCAAAAGCAAATATGAATTTTGAGGAATCAAAAGGTTCTGCGGTAAACGTCCGGTCCATTACATGCTATGACAATGACCGGAACTGCAGTACTTTTTATTTTTATTTATTCATGTTCTACCACTTACTCCTTTCCAGGGTCACATGCAGAGCAGCAGCCAATCCCAGCAGTCACCAGGTGTGGGACTAGTACAGCGTTAGAGTGGACGACTCCTCCATGGTTTTGGACTTTGGTGAAGATCCACACACACCAGGAGAACATACAAACTCCATACAAAGAGGCCGGGATCAAACCAATTAACAGGTGATCATCTTGGTGTGAGGCAACGGCACAAACCACTCTTACACTGTGTGGCCTGTAATTAGTGTTTATTGTACTAAAAATAACCTCAGAGAGGCGTACATACTGTAAGCCTTACCACACATCAATCATATATGTGTCATATCCTGTTTATGTGACAAGAAGTGTCTGGCATATTTCTAGTGATTAATTGAAAGAAGTATATTTCATTCATGACAACAGACTCATTCAATACCGGGTGTGACTTTTTCAGGATTTATGCTTTCGCAGCCAATCAGCAGCTCCCAGTCCTGGATTTTTGTTACATGGACCAAGGGGTGTGGCTCAGCTATTTTAATTTTGAGGATGCTTTAACTGTTTCAAGGCCAAAGTTAATGCAAGTGATGTTAATGTAATAATCATACAGAAAGCTGCCCATAGTTCTCAGTAAAAGTTCATGTCATTATTTAAAAAAAAAAAATTATAAATGATATGATATGATGAAAATAAGGTATTTATCTGTTTAATGTTGAATTTATAAATGATTTAAAATAAGGTATTTATCTGTTTAATGTTGTTTAATCTGAAGGAATTATTCTAATTGTTTATATTAATAATGTGTAACTACGACTTGAGTTGAAACTCCTTAAAACTCAAGGAGATAGACCTTAAAGGAGATAGACTTCAACAGCTGATTCTAGCTACCACCTTACAGTATGACAGCAAAATTATTACCTATGTCTTCTTATTATTCTGTGGTTTGTCAACAATTTTCTATAAATGTAATTCGTAACAACACAGGAATGGAATCTCCCCCGTGCTCCCGCATGGCGCCAGTCACCTACATAACTGCAGAGGGTGTAAACACAGAGCAGCAAACAATTGTTTCCTGACTGTAGGACTCCTGTACATCCAGCTTAATTGTATTCATTTTATAGTAAAACAATGCTAGAGTAGCTATTACCTGGATTTAAACCCCAGCATCAGTGCTGAGGAAAAATGTGTTACGTATACAGTCTTTTCTCAGTGCCTGGTTTAGCACATGGTGCAACCTGCTATAAATGCTGATTAAGATCCCAACATCTATGTATGTGTGTGTGCATATATATATATATATATATATGTGTGTGTGTGTGTGTATATATGTATATATGTATACACACATACATATATGTATATATTTTTATATATATATACACATATATGTATATGTGTACATATGTATATATATATACTCACCTAAATACTAAGTATATATCTGTGTGAAATTGTTTCAACGATGCATTGCATTAATTTTTATAAAACAAAAACGTTGTACCAGCTCATTCAACTTAGTACCATGGCATTGGAACTGTGTTCACAGCGACCTCTGCAGGAAAGTCGGGCGATTGTGTTGTGAACATCAATTAGAAAATTTGAAAAGGCTTTTTCAATCATCAAACAACTTAGTAGTCTAAAACAAAAAATAACTTTACTTTGTATAATTCGTCTTGACATGTTCCTTTTCTCTTACTTTTCATGAAATATTATTCATTTTACCAAGAGTTTTCTACATAAATGAAAGGCTCAAATGTCAGTCGTGTTTTAAAAATACGCCTCCCATGAAATGTGCCATCTTTAGCGGTGGTTTCTTTCCCTGTATGTAAATAAGTTTGAGAAACTTTAACTTATAACTAGAGGTGGGTGTTTCGCCTTTAAGAGTTAAGAAACTTGAAACCTTGTTTGCGCAACAATCAGTGCAGCTCACAGCCGCCAAAGTGTCTAGACTAGCACATGATGGTAGTCAGCCAATGGCTCCACCGCTCTCCTCGGGGGCCCTGTGTGTGTGTGTGTGTGTGTGCGTGCGGGTGTGTGTGTGTGTGCACGTGGGGGAGAGAGAGAGAGAGAGAGCGAGGGAGCGAGAGAGAGAGACAGAGAAAGAAAGGGATCTGGGCTGCAGTTTGTGTTAGATCTGAGTGGAGAAGCACCGGATTGATTCTCTTCGTGTACTTTTCAGCTCGCATGGATATTTCAGGGGGAATTGTCAAAGAAAGAGCACGGACACCTCTAGAAGACGACACGGATCCTGTCCTCTAGTGCATTTTCCTGGGATTAAATCTCCTCAGTACCTCATGCGTGATACGCGCCGGTGTAGAAAGTAGACGTGAGGTTGTTAAAAGTCCTGAACTGTTGAAGGTCTCGGGTTTTCAGGCTGCCGGTGTTTGGATTATGTTACCAAGTATATTGTGTTTTGTTATGATGTATTCCGCGTTTTACATTCATGTAACAGACATATAAACTGTGCGTATTTACAGCAAAGGGTTCATGTAATGATCGACCCAACGAATGCATTTTGATCGGAATGCTGCAGTGCAATCATTGCGCAGCTTTGTTGTTGTAAATGCAACAAAAAAGCCTCAAGTCTAATGTTGCGCCTCTGCCATCAATGCTCGTCGCTCGGCTGTGCATGCGCTGCACGGCGTTTCACATACATTAATGTTTTACAACGACGGTAAAAGTATTTCTAACATACACATATCCGTACAGGAATACTACTAAAAAAAGCCACAAATAGATTGTCAAGTTGTCGTATGTTCAGGACGAAACGCTCAGGTCTTGTGCGGCGACTCTGGAGAAGCCGTTTGATCCCAGATAAAGAAGGGGAAGATGGAAATGGAAAAACTAGTGAGGGCTGTAGAGACGATGTTTTCGGCAACAACCCGGAGAAAATTCCCAAAACGGAGTTCAGACCGATGACCCCCAGTGGGTCTCCTGGAGGGGGGGCACGAGCCGTGCGCACTCGGAGCCCCGTGGAGAGCAGCGCTCTGAGGGTCACGGTGGACCAAGATGTGGCCGCGGTGTGCCTCACGGAGCAAGGGAGCCCCCGCTCCGTGCAGGACAGCGAGGGCAGGACAGTGACTTGCTGCTTATTCTCAGAGAGGGACCACTCCGTGCACAGGGCTCCGGACACGGCTCAGGGCTCCGTGGATCCGGGGTCCTGTCACTTTGCGCACAGGAACCCTGGAGCTCGGGACGGCGGCCCTGCTGAGGCGCAGGAGGCGATGCCCCGCACCGTGTTAGATCAAGAACTGAAGTCAGCCACATACTCTCTGTTAAAACGGCTGAAGGAGAAGGCGCTGGATACTTTACTGGAGGCGGTGGAGTCCAGAGGAGGGATGCCTAGTGACTGTGTAATGATTTCCCGGACTGAGCTGAGGTTCGGCGGCCATGTGACATCACCACAGCTGCTTGTGTGTAAACTGTACCGATGGTCCGACCTCCAGCACTCGGCCCAGCTCAAACCGCTCTGTGAGTGTAAGAGTTCTGGGGCTCCTGACAGTCCGACAGTATGCTGCAACCCCTATCACTACAGCCGACTCTGTGGGCCAGGTAAGACCACCGGCCAAAACACACGCGCACGCACGCACCCACACGTACACCCGCGCACACACACACACAGTCTCCCAGTCCAGTGTTTGTTTGTGCGTGTGCGTGTCACCTACAGGCCAGCCCACTGTAGATGCTGTGTTGTCCCACGGTCCATTCACAGACATCGGCCTGTAGCTCGGTGTGATGTTCCTTTAAGGCTTAAGTTTCTTTTCAGAATTCTCTTTGAAGCTTTCTTTTAAGAGGCTACTATAACTTCTGCACATGGCCGTGATTTAGAAGCACATGTGGAAAAACTCCAAACAGACACAGCCTAATCAAAACAATTTATTGTTTCAGATTTTTTTTTTTAAAACTTGCTTTAGTTTTATTCTGCATAACAGAAATCCTACTCAAGGTAATCACTGAGAGTCGCAGCCTTCCACACGGTGACAAGGAGATTCAGCTGATTTGATTAAAAAGCTAATCATCACTTTGATCATTCTCAATGCAAGGTGAGTTATTCAGCTTATGTGCTTAATGATCTATATACATGGATCTGTTGATGTGGCTGTGATGCCAGTGGTGGAGCAGTTAATGATTTACACATGGAGCCTTCACTGAAATGGTGACATTATTCTGGTCTGGTGACTTGGTGACTCTGAAGGACTCTTAAGGGTTAAGGTTTTTCAGTAAAGTCAGTCAAAGTCAGTTTTGCTCCTTTTAGCTTTACGTCCACCACCAGCGATCCCTCCGTCGCTGAACCTTTCTGACCTCTATTAAACAGATTACATTTTGGCAGGGCACAGGCCTGTGAGTTGGCACACCTTGACCACTGGGCCACTCGACCCCGCTGACCTGATGACAACGCATGGTATCATGTGTGAAGATGCCAGTGTCAGTACTTCTGCTTTCTCACTGGCACCGGAGGAGGATTTTCCATAACATTCATGTTTTCTAGGGCCAGCTGGATCTGGAGAGCTTAAAGTCATAAGTCCAGCAACGTCAGAATTCAGAGAAGACCTATGCTGAGAGAGAGAGAGATGTACTGTCTGACCTGATCAGATGTGATTAACTGAAGCGCCACGGCTGTGTGGTGTTTGTGGGTTTGAACACACCGTGTTGGATGCAGTATTTGATTTGTTTCCCTGATGGGGTGGACCAGGTCAGAAAACATGGTGTGTGTGTGTGTGTGTGTTTTTCCACTGAAGCTAACGAGATGAATTATCAGGTGGGGGAGAGTAGCATACCCCAGGGTTTGTAGTACACATAGCTCACATGCGTTCATGCATGGCCCAATAGAGCTGGTATTTCTTTCATGCTATTCATGAAAGCAGTGTATGGATTCAAGACCCTCAAACACTGTTTTAGTGTTTTTCCGTACGAGTCATGCTATTCATTAACAAACACTAGTTTTACTTGAAACGATTCTAATGAATTGCCGCCTTCTAAAAGTTTCTTTTTTAGCATGCAGGTTTGAGAAATGTTTAACTGTAACCCAAACAAGAATGAAAAAAAAAAAAGAAAAAAGTTCTCCGTGTGTGACAGAGAGCTTTGATTGAAGTGAACAAAAAGTTTTTCCTTTTATTTAGCTGGGCATTATACTTTTCGATTAAGATCAGTTTCAAGTTGCACTTTAAAAGCCCTTTTGTCCTAAGGAGGTCCCCTCATGCTATTTAGGTGAAGGAGTGGTGATAATATACAGTTTGCATACTACTGGCGCCAGACTGACTAGCTGTGTATCTGAGTGACTGAGTTCAGATCCTGGCAATTACTGCCGCCACTCTTAAAGGCCCCGCTGCTATTATGCTTTTCTCCTTCCCCTTCTCCCTGTAGGAGCAGTCACAGAGCGCTCACAAAACGTCTCTCTGCTTTGTCTTTCCCTTCTTTAACATGGTTTTTTTCTTTCTTCTCTGTTCACTATAGAAAGTTTACAGCCTTAAAACAAAATGACGATTAATTCAACTGCTAACTAAAAGCTCTGGTTTGCCTGTGGTTGTTTCTGGTTAAATGCTACATGTCTAAATGAGATAAACACGCTGCTATTCTTTGTGTATTAGTTTGTGTTTTCATCCAGAGTTCAGACAAACAGTTTAAAGATTATAGTCCAGAAACAAGTCATTAAATACACACCAGTGTCGAAGCTTTTATCTTGGCATGAGTCATTTTTTTTTCCTTGCACAATTTTAAGGTTTTTATCAAAATTATGATGTTGTATATAATGCTGTAAACTACTAGCTTCCAATTATACTTGCCACTTTGCTTTTTTAATTTTTTTATTAGATTATGTTTATCTGTTATGTTAATATTAAAAAAATGAATAAATAAAGAAAACCCTGTTTATTCCTATGGATTATTGTTAACAAATTGGTTATCGTGTTATGTTAGCCTGTTTTACCTGGTAAAAAAAGGTTAAAAAAATGAATAAATAAATAAAAAACCCTGTTTATTCCTGTGGATTATTGTTAACAAATTGGTTATCGAATATTTGAACCTGTAGAATAGACCACGTTGATTGTTTTGATGTGAAGGCGACAGCATAACTGAGATGGAGTTGAAGATCGTAATATATTTGAATATTCAAACCAACATTTATTCCTCTGTGTTACAGAGTCACCCCCACCTCCGTATTCAAGGCTTTCCCCCAATGAAGAACACAAGCCACTGGGTGAGTGACAAACACACTACACACACTACACAAAGACTGCCTACTTATTACAGTGACTACATTCACTTAGAGTTTTCAGTGAATCCCTTCAGGTTCAGCTGCTTTGGCAAAAATATGTCCTGGTTACTTTGGTTCTTTGTGGCATCTGATTGTGGACCCAAAGAATGTGAACCCACACAGTTTTATTTGTGATTAGACCCTCAGAGATACCTGTTAGCTGCACCTCCTGTGTGAAGTCTTCCACCTTATTGGATTACCATCAACTGGATATGCTTTAAATCATTATAACATTTTTATAGTCACTAATTGTTTACGTGTAAATACAGCAAGGTTAGTCATCAGGATGACTTTGCCAATGATGTGGTCAGTCTTTTGTTTGGGATTTGTTCTAACACAAAGTAAAACAATGTGGAGAATTTTAATAACTCTAATTGGCTACAGTGACTCTGGCGTAGTGACTCTGAGATGAGACACGGACCAGCATGTGGCACCGTTGCAGCCAGTGTGGGTCGTATAGTGTGGGCAGTATATACAGTATGCAAAACGTTGGCTGCTGAGACTCCGGAGCTTGGCTGTGAGCTGGGGCTGCAAGCCTGAGTACAGCTGAGGTTTCAGCCGGTATTTGGATGGATGTCATCGAGTGATGTCTGCGTTTGAAATGTTCAAATTATGAAACACAAGCTGTCCTGACTTTATCTCTTTAATTTAGCATTTCAAAAAAGACCAGTCATTTGGTTGAAATCACAGGGGATGTGTTTAGAATAGCAGATGTTAAATGCAGGAAATTCATGGTTGACTTCTGTTTTATTCCCCACAGATCTGTCAGACTCCACATTGTCTTACACTGAAACTGAGGCAGCCAGCACGCCAAACATCACACCGGGGGATTTCTCAGGTGGGTGTGTTTCTCCTACTGTCATCACTCTCCAAATAAGCGAATGACTTTTGAAAATGTTTTGAAGCACTTTTGGAGCTGGTGACATTAAAATGACATTGTTGTTTTATGTATCAAAGAATTCTCTTGCAACACTTTCTTTTCCCTCATGACAACGCGGCCGCATTGTGCTTAGTTTAAAATAGAGGTGGTGTTTGAAATTCAGAACAAAAGATGAGCTCAAAGTTATTTAATGATGTATTGTTTGTTTTCGCGTTGCTTGACTTTGGATTTAATTTGTTTGAGGAGCCTCTTTAGTAGGTGTCCATGTGTTGGTTTTATAAAGAACATGCACGTTGATTTTTTTTTTGTAGAAATTTAAACTAGAACCTTTAACTGATTGTACTTAGATACACGCAGAAACGTAGTATTTTTGACTGCTCATCGATCGTTGATTTGGGTAAAGTGTAAATAAGAAGAGACATTTGTTCTGTAAAATTAGTTCCGATCTTAGCTGCTAATACACGATGATTAGTTGAACTAAAGAAGGTTATGTGCAGTTCCACGTCCCCTCTCTTTTAAGGCCCATAACAAATAGTCCAAGCTTTAGAGATAAAGGTCTCATTGTGAGCGGTGTAGAGGTTCAGCGGGGCGTGTGCATTGGCCACAGAACTGGCCTCCCCACCTCTGTTATTCTTTCAGAAATATTTGAGTGGGATCAAACTGTAATAAGATCCAAGCTCGCTCAGAAACACACAGGCACACACATAGTTGTGCACATACATGTGCACGGCCACTCACACTTGCCTGGCTGTAAGTGGGCTGCAGCGGGGGGTGGGGGGTCGGGGGGGAAGGGCTTGAGGGAAATGGAGTTGCTCCTATGAATGGGGCCACACCAGAGGAAGTGAGCAGAAACAGTCGTATCTACTGAGTTGAAGTGAAGCACTCCTCTCCCATGCAGTAACGCGGGCCTTTCCCTCCGTGCTGGGGCTGCAGCCAGTCAGTGTAATGCAAATGTGGAGTTAGGGCCTTTCCCTCATAGCGTCTGCCACAACCTTCCTCCACTCTGATGAGTTGACATGACTACCTGGCAGTGAAGTATTCAGAGATTGAGGGCCCCCTCCTCCACAGTACACACGCTGTCACCACCTCAGCATGGCTCGGCGACACTCCCTGAGTCAACAAATGAGGGGCTTGTCAGAGCCCGCACCACAATTCCTCAGAGACTGTGGTGAGGAGGCAGGGAGGGAGGATCTAGACTCGCTAGTCTTTGGTTTCTACCAACTGCGTTGTTGCTTGTACAGTCTGTGCCAGATCGTACCACTGTGACTGTGACACACAACATGGAACGGTTAAAGAGAACGGTCCAGCGTGCTGATGTTTTTCTGTACTGACAGATTGTTTTTGTTATTTCGTTGCCTTGACGATATATACTTTGTCATGGGTCGAGCAAATCTCCAAAGTATTTGACTTAGTTTGTCAGAACCCCTCAGCTCTGTGCTTGCGTGGCCTTTGTTTATTTCTGCCTTAACCTACGACTCAACTATACAGTCATTCAAACCTGCCCTGAGTGTGTTAATAAGCTGGGGATGCTTTTTTCCCTTTCCCTTTCATCATGGCTGGAGAGAGAGTCCCTGTGTAACCAGAGTTGTATGAAATCCAGACTCCACCCGTCACGCAGGAACAAGTAAACCTCTTAAAAGCAAGTCTGGGGGAACTTTGGAGTCAAATAATCAGCTACAGTCTACACCCCAGGGCGACCGCAGCGACTGCTGAGCGTTCTCCTCCACCGTACAATGGCACTGGAACTCCTCAGCTTGTTTTGATACCTCAGTATCCAGCTTGTCACAGATATTAGAAAATGATTTTCTACGTCACATGTGACCATTGTTAATATGGTCTGTTCCATTCCAATACAAACAACAGGGGGTTAAGTTAATGATAGTCATGTTTGAATTTCCCATCTCCTTCTGGCTGATTGCTGCACTTGTTAAACATGCTAAAATGTTTTCACTCATGCATTCTTAAAAAGCCTCCCCTGTGAGTACATTACTGTATTAATGCCCCGGGCAGCCTAATACCCATGCCTTCAGTTACTGTGAGGCCAGAGACGTGCAGCCCATTCCCACTGATTTATTTAAACATTGTTGTGTCACACAGAGATTCCACAGACATTCTGCGCTGCGTCCGCTTCCCAAGTGAGAGCGGTGCACAAAGTATACCTTAGAGCTGCGCACGTGAGGGAATGCACCTCTCCTGCTGCTGCCCCCCCCCCCCCCCCCC